CAACATCCCTGTAACCCTCATTCCACGACGTAGCTCGAATTGCGTAGCTTATTTCAAGATAAGGGGAAAGTGTAGACATAGCCTATGTAACCCATATACATACAGGGTGTAGGTCACTGTCCCAGGGAGTGGCACTTAGAATGAGCCTGGTCCACAGCCTCACCTTTCTCTCTGTAAGTGGTCTGAGAGCCAGCTGGAGAGACTCAGGCACTAAGGTCCCAGGTTTGGTTCTACCTGTTGGTGTTACACCTACACATGCACGGACACTTGCGTCACTCACCCAGACCCATATATGTTCTCATATGCACAGTCTGCAGAGAAAACACATGGAGTGTGTGACAAGGCGGTCCAGCCTCGCACTGGCCAACGGGGGAGCCAGCTGGCCTGCTGGGCTGTGCAGGCCCCGCCCCTCAGCAGTGCTGGGCATGCTCCAACTGCAGGCCAGGTATAAAGGCCAGGGAAACAGCTCAGTTGGGGCTGGCCTCTGGGGAGGGAGGAACTCCTGCCCAACCTCCAGAGCCACAGCTGGGCCTGCTGTGTCACTGCTACAGTGACTGTAACGCTGACCCCGGAGGGCAGCCCAGCCCACCCCACCCCGCCACGGTGGACAACCCTGTCGCTGCTGCCCCAGATGCCGGACCTGCCAATGTCATGGTCGCTGCCAGCCCAGTGCCTGCAGGTGGGGTCTCCGTCGGCCACGGGCTGGGGTAGGAAGCAACCCGGGGCAGGGAACCCCCCGGTGGGCTCGGTGCATTTTGGGGAGAATTCCCTGCTGAGCTAGTGGTCGGAACCATCCACCACTAATAGGGCCATGGGTTGGGGTCCAGTGGAGAGGGAGGGCCCGGACCCCCCTACCCCATCCACCCTGAGCATGGACTAGGCCTCCGGGCCTGCAGTTTGCTGTGGACTAGTCCTCCAGGCCTGGGAGTGTAGCAGCCCGACCCCAGGGCCGAGCAGGGGCACCCGCGACAGAGTGACCACAGCTCTTTTTCTGCAGCAGTCTCCAGTGGACTCCCACAATACAAAGTGACCCAGCCTTGAAACCACCAAAGTGTAACTTAGCAAGTAGCAGCCTGACTGGCATTCCCAGAAATGTGCAGAGGAAAACATCCCAGACTGGACAGGTACAGTGATGAGAGGCTAATGCAAATTCAGGTTACAGATAAGTAATAATGAAAGCCAGGAACTTATTCCCAGCTGGTGCTCCGCGATGTGACTGCTGACCCTGTGTTTGGCTTAGCCAAGCAGTGTGTACTAGGATTTCTTTAAACACGGCTACATCACCAGGAAAGCACATTTCTCTCTAGCACAATATTCCATTAAAAAAGCCTCCGTGTCCTTTTAGCCATTCTCCCCTCCCCATCTGCTCTCTCCAGGCATCCGCATAGTTACATCACCCTGCCCTTCACCCCCAGTGGTGTTATTTTCTCGTACCTGTCTCTGTCTTCCTTGAGGTCCTGGTCTTGCAAACGCTGCTACGTTTCATTTCATTCACGGCAGGCACATTTGCAGAATCAGAGCTTTAAAGTGTGACTTGTTGTGGGGAATCTGTGTTTCACTGGGTATTTTTTTAAAAAGCCTCCTGCACATCTACATAAAAAATGAGTAAGAATAATTCAGTGAAGGGTACGAATGATATGCTACGGCAAGACAGAGCTCAAAGATCAGAGATCACTCTAGAGCAATGTTCCATCTAAACTTTTTCGGCCATGTGCAGAATAAATTTGTATGTGCACCATGTGCAAATGGGCACCACCAGAAGAAACATAAAACCTAGCTGTGGGTGCTTTGCTAATCAGTTGGGTGATAACTGAATCTCTCTTGAGTGGGTGCACAAGCACCCAGCTTACAAAGAACACTGTTCCAAAGGGCTTCTAGAAAGGGACTGGCTGTTTCTCTGTTTACACAGCACCTAGCACAATGGAACCTGTGACTGGGATTCCTAGGGGCTACTGAAAACCACATGCCTCCTGGGTGTGGTGCACTGTCCCAGCTAGTGGCATTGAGACCCCTTACAGAGAGATTAATGAGGCTGCCCTCCAGCCTTAGCTACTAGGCAGCTGGCTTTTAGCTCATGCAGTACAGGCTCCTGCACTTAGGTCCCAGGTTTGATTCCACCCACAAACAACCGGGGTCTGGCAGTGTTGCACTATGGCCGTATGAGCAGTCAGAATAAATAACATTGGTGATACTGAGTCCAGCTGTTCCTTTTTCACTTTTCATAGCACAGACAAAACAGGCCTCCTGGCACTTTCCAAATCCTTGCCGTCATTCTGACTGCATCGTCTGAAGATGAACCAGCACATGTTTATGAGCTGTGTAATTATTGCTGCGTAACATATGGGGAAATGGAAGGGTGACAACATCCTGAAGTAAACCCTGGAGTTTCTATAATGAGACAGAAAGCACAGTTAATAGGCAATATGTTCCCATTCATGTTTGCATATTAAGTGACACGATGCCCCGGCCCTGTCGAGTCTGGCTCCATCTGTGTTGTGGCAATCCCGCGATGGATTCGGGGTCTGTTTGGGGCTGGAATTAAATGTTGGACAGTGGAGACATCTGCAGTTTTGATCATTTGTTTGTGTTTGCTTTTCTCTGAGGGACTCTGCATGATTTGAAGAGAAGCCGATTCCAGGGCTGGGACACAGGATTTCAGAGTCTGGACTACGAGGAGAGTCATTGCGCTTTTCAGTGGTGCTGCTGGAAAGCTCATCTGTCTGTTTATGGTCTTGTTTCCTTGGCTCTGTCATGAGGGCACATCCCCACTAGCTCCAAGGGACAAATTCCTCATGCCACCGGGGCCAATGTTTAGAGTAAGAGCTGTCAGGTGCCCTTATCTTCCCCGACCAGGACCTGACATGCCAACAAAAGAATTCAGACAACTCCATCTCTGAACACCATGCAATAATCCCCTGCCTTGGTTTTCATGCGCAGCCAAAGACTTAGAAACCAACCATTCATGGAAGAGTTCTGTCCCTTGGCAGTTCAAAATACTGCTTACTGCAAATTCACAAAGAGCTTCTAAGACTACAAGCAGGTTTTCAATAAAGCCCCAGTTCATTCAATAGTTAGTGTATTGTAGACACTCTATGCCTCAGTAAAATGGCTGCTATCTCTGCTGAATGCATTCCTGGGTAAACCAAGTTCTCGATAGTTGTGCAATAGTACCAGGGCTTGAGGACTAGTCTGGCTCAAATAAGAACTGAGCCAAACCTTGGACCACACCATAAACAGATGCCAACATTTTGGGAGGTTTGAAGAAGACGGGTGTAGTTTTTCCCCCGCGCCTCTGTGCTCTCTGGGTTCTGCTGCTAAAGGAAAGTGAAAGAGTCCGGCCCAGCAATTCCCACACAAGCAGCACCAGGACATCTCAGAGGGTTCGCCCCGAGAGCCTGGCCTGGATTTGCTGGGATCCCAGCTAATGCTGGAATCCAAAGAGTTTGGCTAAGCATCCAGATCCAGACGCCCATGAACAAAAAGTGGATGTTTGCAAATTTTTAGGGTTCTAGATATAAAATTTGTATCCGCATCCACATCAATAACTGCAAAAATGAGGGACCTGGAAGGGACCTCGAGAAGGCAGCAAGTCTAGTCCTCTGCCCTGACAGCAGGACTCAGCACCATCTTGACCATCCCTGACAGGTGTCTGTCTAACCTGCTCTTCACTACCTCCAGTGATGGGGATTCCACAGTCTCCTTAGGCAACTTATTCCTGTGTTTAACCACCATGACAGTTAAGAGGTTTTTCCTAATGTCCAAGCTAAATTTTCCTCACTGCAATTTAAGCCCATTGCTTCTTGTCCTATCATTAGAGGCCAAGGAGAATATTTATTCTCCCTTCTCCTTTGTAACACCCTTTTAGGTACTTGAGAGCTGTTATATCCTCTCAGTCTTCTCTTTTCCAAACTAAACAAACCCAGTTCTTTCAGTCTTTCCTCATAGCTCATGTTTTTTAGACTTTTAATCATTTTTGTTGCTCTTCTTTGGACCTCCAGTTTGTCCACATCTTTCCTGAAATGCGGTGCCTAGAACTAGACACAATAGTCTAAGGATACGTCTACACTGGCATGATTTTCCGGAAATGCTTTTAATGGAAAAGTTTTCCATTAAAAGCATTTTGGGAAAAGCACGTCTAGATTGGCAGGATGCTTTTCTGGAAAAGCATTTTTTCCGGAAAAGCATCCGTGGCCAATCTAGACACGCTTTTTCGCAAAAAAGCCCTGATCATCATTTTCGCGATGGGGGTTTTTTTGCGGAAAACACTACTGTGCTGTCTAAACTGGCCCTTTTCCGGAACAGTTTTCCAGAAAGAGACTTTTGCCCGAACGGGAGCAGCATAGTTTTTCCGGAAATTCAAGCGGCCTGTGTAGACAGCGGGCAAGTTATTCCAGAAAAGCGGCTGATTTTCGGAAATAACTTGCCAGTGTAGACACAGCCTAATTGAGGCCTAATCAGCACAGAGTAGAGAGGAACATTTACTTTTTGTGTTTTGCTTACAACACACCTATTAATGCATCCCAGAATGATGTTTCTTCTTTAGCAACAGTGTCACACTATTGACTCATATTTAGCTTGTGGTCCACTCTGACCCCTAGATCTCTTTCTGCAGGACTCCTTCCTAGACAGTCACTTCCCATTCTGTATGTGTGAAACTGATTGTTCCATCCTAATTGGAGTATTTTGCATTTGTCCTTATTGAACTACATCCTATTTACCTTAGGCCATTTCTCCAAATTTTCCAGATTGAAGTGAATTATGACCCATCCTCCAAAGCACTTGCACCCTCTCCCGGCTTGGTATCATCTGCAAATTTTATAAGCATTCTCTCTGTGCCAATATCTAAATCATTGATGAAGATATTGAACAGAACTGGCCCCACAACTGACCCCTGCAGAACCCCACTTGCTCTGTCCTTCTAGCCTGACTGAACTTTTGATAACTACTCTGAGTGTGATTATCCAACCAGTTATGCACCCACCTTATACTAGCCCCATCTACATTATATTTACCTTGTTTGTTGATAAGAAGGTCATGTGAGACTGTGTCAAATGCTTTATTAGAGTCGAGGTATACCATGTCCACCACTTCCCCCTTATCCACCAGGCTTGTTATCTTATGAAAGAAAGGTACCAAGTTGATTTGACATGATTTGTTCTTTACAAATTCATTCTGGCTGTTAATTAACATCTTATTCTCTTCCAGATGTTTGCAGATGGATTCCTTAATTATTTGCTCCATTATCTTTCCTGGCACAGAAGTTAAGCTGACTGGTCTGTAGTTTCCTGGGTTGTTCTTATTTCCCTTTATAGCCGGGCTCTATTCCAGTCTTTGGGAATCTCTCCCATCTTCCATGACTTTTCAAAGATGCGGATACAGACATCTGTGGATACAACGTGGATGTGTGCAGATTTCTAGGGTTCTAGTTATGATCACATGGGTTCCCAAACTTCCTATATTAGCCCAAATAACAACAATACAAAGATTAATTTTCCCATACAGCACAGCCGGTGCAATGTGCACATAACACCAAGTTCCAAACGCTGAAATATACTAGTACCACAGCAATAAGAAAGAAATAACAGGTAAAGATGGTGGGTGCAGGGATCCTGCGACTTTGCACATGTCTCCTCTTTAGAGGCCCAACCAATCCATAGAGGAATGCCACGGTTTCCATTTGTTTTAACCTCTGACAGGCAACAAAGGGGGGAAAAAACTAAATGTGAGGTTATATCTGAAGAAAATAATGAAATTGCCTGAGGTGAACTTGAATCAAGAGAAGTAGCAGGGTGTCTGGTTAGAACAATGTTATTAGGAGCTCTGTGGCTAGCTTAGCCTGCAGCTTTCTTTAAAAGTCCAGTGAGACCAAGCAAAGTGGTGAATGGGGGAGAAGGAGGCTGGGTCTCCCTTGTGCACCATAACAACCTTTAAAACAACATCCACAGATAAAACTTCAAGGAAAAAGAAAACTTTTCTTACTTAGTTTGGAAGTTCCTCAGCGCTCCCTCACTCTGAGCCATAATTTAGGTTTGACCTAGGAGACAGTGGCTGTTAGAGTGTGTTGCAGAAAAAAAAAACTCTCAATATTTTATATTAGAAGCTTAGAATCCTAGGTTTGGAAGAGATGTCAGAGGGCATCAAGTCCAACCCCCTACCCACAACAGGACCAACCCCACTAACTCAACCCAGCCAGGGACTTTAAAACCTCTAGGGATGGAGATTCCACCCCCTTCCTAGGAACCCATCCCAAGGCTTCCCCACCCTCCTAGTGACATAGTTTTTCCTAATATCTAAGGGTATGTCTACACTCCCCCGCTAGTTCGAACTAGCGGGGGTAGTGTAGACATACCCTAACTTAGACCTTTCCCACTGCCACCTGAGGTCATTGCTCCTGATTCAGTCATCTTTCACCACTGAGAACAGCCTCTCTCCAGCCTCTTTCACACAGTTGAAGGCTGCTATCAAATCCCCCCTCACTCTTCTGCAGACTAAACAAGCCCAAGTCCCTCAGCCTCTTTTCATAAGTCATGTGCTGGACTCCCCTCCCCCCAATCATTTTTATTGCCCTCCACTGGACTTTCTGAAATCCTTTCTAAAATGAAGAATGCAGGAGTCAGCTGAGGAGATGGCTGGTTCCACAGTTCCTGGCCAATGGAAGAGAGAGGAAGGAGAAGGAGACCTCAATTAGGCAGCGCCAAAGCTCTAGGCATGTATCTATAAGGACCTAGGGTTTAAGGCAAATTTAGGTCACAAGCAAAAATAAATTCATAAGGTCTTACTTTACCTACACCTCCAAATGTACACACGAGGGGTCTGTGTGCAAGCAGGTCCAGGATCTGAGTAGCATGAGGGGCTGCAGATCAGACTGAAGTGGTATGACCCAGAGGTGAGTGAGACTTGTACTGGGCGTGTCTACACTGGGATCATGCAGCATGTTAGAAAATGTGTGAGCTGACAAGGTAAGACATAGTTCAGCACTCGCTGGAGGTGGTGGCTGATACATTTGCAACTGTGCTAGCAGATTGGGGTTAACTCTATGGCAATATAACATCAGCCATGAGCGGCGAATGTGAAAACCTTTGTTGGCACAGAGGGTACGTCTATACTGTAGTGAAAAAAGTCTCAGGATCTGGGTCAGCTGACTCAGGGCTCAGACTGCAGGGCTTCAACTAGTTGTGTAGACATCCAGGCTGCGTCTAGACTGGCACGTTTTTCCGCAAAAGCTCCCGCTTTTGCACAAAATCTTACCCGCTGTCTACACTGGCCGCTTGATTTTGCGCAAGAGCACTGACTTTGTAATGTACAAAATCAGTGCTTCTTGCGCAAATACTTTCACGCTCCCGTTCGGGCAAAAGCCCTTTTCCAGAAATGCTTTTGCTCAAAAGGGCCAGTGTAGACAGCTAAAAACTGTTTTGCGCAAAAAAGCCCCAATGGCGAAAATGACGATCGGGGCTTTCTTGTGCAAAACCGCGTCTAGATTGGCAAAAAGTGCTTTTGCACAAAAGCATCCGTGCCAATCTAGACGCTCTTTTCCACAATGCTTTTAACAGAAAAAGTTTTCCGTTAAAAGCAGTTGCGGAAAATCATGCCAGTCTAGACGTAGCCCCAGAGTCTGGCTGGCGCCGAGGGTAGGAGAGCCTCCCACTTCACCGGGTCTCTGAACTTGAACTACCCTGCCATTTTCAGCCCCCTGACGGCAAATCACTGACCCAAGACAGCTGTGGCCAGGCTGCAGGTCTTTCATCATTGTGCAAATGTCTGTGGAGTGTTTTACATGGCATCACAACAGGGTACATTTTGTCAGTGCAGGCAAGCCCCAGGTGACAGCACTGAAGCCCCAATCCTGCAAAGCTCTTAGCACTTGCTTAGCCTTGGTGCTCCAAAGGGACAACTCATGTGCTTAAAGATAAGCAGCTCTTCAAATGGTTGGCTGAATCAGGGCCTAATGCAGGAGCGGGTAAGATACAGCCCCTGGGCCAGATCTGGCTGGCAGCCCATCCTGCTGCACCCCCCACCTCCATGCCAATTGCGACCCGGGGACTGGGGAGTGTGAAAAGTCATTTGCTGTTCAAAGCGGCTGATGGCTCCCTTCCCCAGCCAGGGGCTCCATTTTGAACAGCGAATGACTTTGCACACTCCCTCGCCGGCAGGCCCCGATTGGCCTGGGGGCAGGGAAATGGGCGACATCTTCTCCCTGTGAGCACATGACGCCTAGAGGGAACCACCCCTTCCACCTGAGGCCCCACCCTTTCCGGGGGCTGGAGCCAGTCCACGGCCACTACCAAAACTGATGAAGTGGCCCCGCTACAAAAATTAATTCTCACCTCTAGCCTAAGGTCTGATCCTACAAGGTGCTCGGTCCTTCTGCTCCCACTGTGTTCAAGGGGAGCGAGTCCCCTCAGTGTATTGTGACCTGTGGGACTGGCTTCCTCTCTGATGAGCATTTACATCCCCAGTCATTCTCTCCTCGTCAGCCCCGCTGTTCCTGGGTCCCAGCGAATCTGAGTATAGAAATACACATCATTACCAAAATCATTCAGGGCAATGAATTTATGCCATGCATTTTAATAAGCTGTCCACCCGGCCCATGCATAAATTACCAGCCATGCCTTCATCAACTGCAGTTAAATTGTCTTATTGATAACACTCGAGGGAGAAACGATAACTCATGGTATTAAATTGAATACAATATAATTCAAGCTCTGGAAATCTGGTAGTAGGCTGCATTACACACAGCTCTAGCGGGGAGTTTGTCATTCCAAGGTCTGTGATGATGCCAGCAGGAACACACGATTATCTCTGCTCAGCATTGAGGGCAGTGGGTGGGGCACAGAAACACCGGCTTTCCGCCCACGCCCAGCAATGTCGCCAGGAGGCCCCTGGAAGGGAGGCTTAGAGGTGACCCGTGCTCTGGGGCTGAGGATCATTAAACGGCTTTGGCATCTCGTTCTCTGTCGGTGGCTGTTTGGCAGCTCTGGAGCACAAGGGCCGATACACTGCACCAAGGCTGGACCTCCCTCCTCTCGTGGCATAAGAGAAAAGAGGTTCTGGGGTTGACTCCTGACCCTGTTCCTTTTATCACCGTATAGACCCAGCCTTTCCTCAGGCGAAACTTCTGCTGGCCACAATTCAGTGGGACACCCATTCCCACCAGGGAGCTGGATGTGGCTGGTGTCTGTGACTCTGAGATGGGTGTTGATAACCATACGGAAGCAGAGTGTTCCTGCCGTTACCTCAGGGCCTCAATTCCCTCTATGCTGCATGGCCGGGCAGTGGCACACCTGCCTAACAGGCCTTGAGGAGGAGTTCAGGGTGGCCGCACAAAGCATTGCCTGTGCCCGCCAGTCCGAGCCACAGAGCTGTGGCAGCTCCTTGCCAGGCCCAGTGTGAAGGGACGTGTCTCCTCCCTCTCACAGCACCTCGGTGTTGGGGCTGGAGGAGGAGCACCTCTCCCCTGGTCCCAGTGCCCAACCCAGAGCTGTCCCATAGCTGCCACTGCCAGGAGGCAAGCGCCCCATCCCCTGGCCCCAAGCTGCTGCAGTGAAAGAGGTCTGGGGTTCTCCTCTCTCTCTGGGGCAGCCTGCACCCCAAAGTTCTCATCCCCAGCCTCACCCCACACCCAACCCTCTGTTCCATCCCTGAGCCCCCTCCAGCAACCCACCTCCGCCACACACTGTCTGCGCATTGACTCTCGTATGTGACATCACCTCCATGCTGATGCCCATAACAAGAGTCATTCTGCACATGGACAAAACTGTAGAGGGAACAGTGCCCAGGGCCGGGCCCTACTCCCCCCGGGGAGCAAGCTGTATCACTGGTTGCAAAGGAGAGCGGGTGGGAACCCAGGGGAAGCATGTGGAACTGACCCCTCGGCCTGCTCCACCACTAACTTCTTGTTGCCTAGCAACATGAACGTGTCCACATATGCTGCTCTGTTGCGGTGTTTCTCGGCGCTGACGTTGGCAGGGGCGCGCACACCACACAGGCAAGTTGCGCGCGTGCAAAGGCTGCTGCCACATGCGTGCCATCGCTCCGACTGGCGCACGTCAAGGCAGGCTCACGCGCTGGCTTTCTTCAGCCACCAGAGAGGGCTCAATGAATTCAAGAAACAAATGCAGCAACCCCTCCCTGAGCTGCCTTTCGACACTGACAGCACGTTTAACCTCCCCATCAACCAACGTGCAGGATAAGGCTAAGAACTAAATGAACTATTCCAAATGAGCAACACCAGCACAGACCCTAGACACATAAGCCACAACATGAAGGGCTCATACAACTGCACACCCTTTAATGTGATCTCTGCCACTCTGCCATCCAGTGCCAGCAATGCTCCTCTGCCATGGATATTGGCACAACTGGATAGTCTCTGCGCCAAAGGATTAATGGACACAAATCAAACATCCGGAATGGTAACACACACAAACCTGTAGAATAGTGATAGAAATGTAGCCGTGTTAGTCTGGGGTAGTTGAAGCAAAATGCAGGACAATGTAGCACTTTAAAGACTAACAAGATGGTTTATTAGATCTTGTTAGTCTTTAAAGTGCTACATTGTCCTGCATTTTGCTTCAAACCTGTAGAAGAACATTTTAACCTGCATGGTCACTCAGTCATGGATTTAAAAGCAGCCATTCTTCTACAAAGGAATTTCACTACCCAATGACAGAGAGTCTGCAGCACTGGAATTCATCTACAGATCTGACACCGTTACTCCAACCTTGAACAAAGACATTAACCGGTTAATGCACTACAAAGCCAATTTCTCCCTCCTTTGCCATCCGCATGTCCACATCAAAAGCTATGAGTGGGACACATCCAGCCCACTTAATTAGCCTCATTGACATGGATCCTACAATTGACAGGTGCTTCTGTCATACATCTCTTGTGGTTTCTGTTATTTCCACTCCAATTCATCTGATGAAGTGGGTTTTACCCACGAAAACTCATGATTCTATATATTTTGGTTAGTCTCTAAGGTAACCCCTCGTTATTCCAAACAGCTGCCCCAATGCCATTCATGAGAGGGCAGTGGCAAGACTATTGCCTAGGTCTACTAGGGCTTAATAATGGCCTAATGGGAGCTTCAGTCCAGGCTATAATTCTCCCAGCATCTCTCCCTCCACCTTGTGATGACTGTTTTGCTGTGTTGTCCTTCCAGCCGGGTAGAAAGTAGCACCGCCAAAAGAGTGGGAAATCCCAGACTGGCTTCTTTGTCCCGTCTTGTTGTGGCTCCTTCAGAAAGAAGGTAACCCCTATGTTTCTCCCTTACAGCTCACCTATGCCTCAAGTGTGTTTCTCTTTCTCCTATAGCCCGAGCCAGTTTTGGGTTTTTTTTCCAAATAACTTCCTAAATTTGCTGGATATGCTACCCCGCATTAAGGTAATACTGTGCAATTCACTTCTGAAGTGTGAGCTTTAACCCTCCCCATGGCCTGCTTCTAGCTGCGCAAAAGCAGCCAGCCACTTAACAATGATGAGAGTGAGGGATAGAGATCAGCTCTTGGAGAGATGAGAGTCCCACTGGGGAAGAAAGGCTAGGTGGGGCTGGCATGGCAGTCCCTATTTAAACCACCAGAGGGCACTGTAAAGCACCAGGATGCAGCCGAATTCTATCACCTGAGGAAGAAGTGGGAGGGAGAGAAATCTATACTTGTGGGGTGATGGAGTGCCTCTGGGCCACAGGGGAGAGCTAGGGGATGCACTGTGAGTCATTTGGACCACATAAGCAGACTTTGAAAGCACAGCAGGGGAAAAAAAGAATTTATCACTGTCACTGGGTATTGAGGCATTAGTAATGGTGGCAGCTCCAAACAATCCAGTCAAGTCTAGAGGAGGGAAAAGGAGAAAGGCTACCAAGAGGGCATTCCAGCCGGACCATTTTGTTTCCCCAGGAGAGAGGTTTTGAACTCTTACTGATTTGACTGGAGGGTCAGGCCACACAAGCCCTTAGAGGCAGGCAGCAGAGACAGGCGGCTTTCCAGGGGTGGCAGAGATGAAAACCCTTGCAACATCACACCCTGACACCTCAACTGTTTCTCCTAGCGTTCTTCTAAACCGATATTGCAGCTGCAAGCCAACGTCATTCCCCTTGTTCCGTGTCCCCTCACGCAAGGCATAGCTTGTCCTTCCTTGAAAGAGAAAGACTATTATTCCAGGGAACAAAGCGCATCTTATTCAGTTTTATTACCCGTCTCATAAGGTCACAGAAACACGGTTTCACATTATTGCCCATGACCTGCTGCTAACCCCAGTGTTAAATTAGCAGCCCATTTTTCATAATTTACAAGTGTAGGCTCACTAAGACTTCAGGCAACTACTGCTGCTGACAACCCAGGGACATTCTAAATTATTGCCTGCATCTCACGTGTTCTCTGAGTTCCTGCCAGTCGTTACGGCCAGAGATGCTGGCAGTGTTCTAAGAATCGGAAAGATCCCACTACCACCTACCCACGTGGACTTCCAGGCCAGAAGAGACCATCATGATCATCAGTCTGACCCTCTGCACAGGCCACAAAACCTCACCCACCCTTCTGTAATTAACCCCTCACCTCTGGCTTGGTTACTGACAGCCACCCCACTGTTCTCCTTGGGAAACCGTTCCAGAACTCGAGTCATCTGGTGGTTACAAATCTTCATCTAATTTCAAACTGTGGCCGGTTGGGGCTAAGCCCCTAGGTTTTGCACTTCTTGGCGGTGTTTTCTTTGTGTGCCTCAGAGGCTCGTGGTGTCCCTAACACGGCCACAAAGGCAAAGGTAACACACTTTCCAAGCCCTTTTCATCACAGGCAAGTCCAGGGTGTGGAAGATCAGCCCCTATGTCAGACCACAGGGCCTCTCCTGTTACTTGCAGGCAGCCCACCAGCCAGGAGGGAGTTGGGGGGAACCCGATCCCACCCACTTGCTCCAGGTTCTGGCCCAAGACCCTATAGGGAGGGGGGTAGGCCAGAGTGGGTTGTGAGGCTTGGTTCTTGCCCAGTGGAACAGTGGCCCCTCCCTGAGCCACTTCCCCAACCTCTCCTGAGTGCCTCCTCCCAATGCCTTGGGTCAGGCTTTGTTGCAGGCTGTCTAGGGTCAGTCTGCTGGGCTGGGCTGGGCTGTTCTCCTTTGCTTCTGCTCTGGTCCATCCCTCCACTCCTTCCCCCCACCTTGCCTGAGGGAGGGTTATTTATGGTGCACTCATCAGCCTTAACTGGCCTCAGGTGTTCTGATCAGCCTTCCCTTCAGGCTGATAACAGATAGGTTTCAGGTGTTGAACTGCTGGGCCACAGTCTCTGGCAGCCTATAATGGGAACATAAAACTGCATACCCAGGTCCCCGTGTATCTGCGTTCCACTAGGCTTCGGCAGCCCCCTGCTCTCAGGCTGCCCCAAAACCTAACCTTGTTGATGACCAGTTTATAGACATTTGTCATCGGTGTTCAACTTAAATAACTCCTCTCTCTCCGTGGTATTTATTGCTCTGATGTATTTATAGAGAGCAACTATATTTCCCC